CTTTTTTATTGTGCTCATAGGTTTTGCGGGTCAGGAATTCAGGTAGGGCTCTGCAGGTATGGCTTGGCTCCATGCCACAACACCAGGTTTCAGCTGGTGATATTTGTGTGGCTGGGGCTGATTTGAATGACTGGCAGCTGGAATCATCCAGAGGCCTCTTCATTCATGACTCTGGTGCTCAGGTGGAAGACCAGAAAGCTGGGCTCTGCTGGGACTGTGAACCAGAGCACCTACATAGGGCCTTTACATTAGGTCTGGGCTCCTCATAGCTTGACTGCTGATTCTGCACGAACATCTCAGAGAGGTTTCTGGAAGGCAAGTACTACAAAAAAAGGCACAACTGAGTAGGTGACCTTTTCTTAGTAGGTGACCTTTTCTCAGACTTGTTATGCATCTCTTCTACCACGTGCTGCTGATAACAAGAGTCATGAAGCCCAGACCAGAATTAAAGACAAGGAAACGAGACCCTATCTCTTGATGTGGGGGTGGTAAGGTCACATCACAGAAATGCTTGTGGAGTGATATGTGTGTGGCTTACTTTGCTCGTCTTTGCAAAATACAAGCTGCCTTAGCAGGGGCGCTACCTCCCCATCTATTTCAAGTGAGTTGTGACCATGTGGTTCGTCTTGGCCAATGAAGCATGAGCAGCAGTGGCTTGCATCACTTCTGGGTGCAAACTTTAAGGGCCACTGTGTGATTCACCACATCTCGTACTGTCATCTATGTAGAAGAGCAAACTGAAAGGGAGGCCCTATCATCCTGGGTCCCTGAGTGACCACTCACCTGTAGAGGACTAGAGAGAGAACTTTTTGTTGTTTTAAAGTCACTGAAATGTGTTACTGCAGCCCAGCCCAGCCTCTCCTGATCCTATTTACACAAATAATAAGAAACCTTACACTCCATTCTGCACTTTGCTTTTTTTGTTTTTGTTTAGCAATATATCTTGAAGATTATTTATATCAGCACAGGAAGAGCACCTGTATACTTTTTTGAATAGATAGCCACATAGGGGGCCTCCCTGGTGGCACAAGGGGTTAAAATGCAACCTATGAACCTATCCGCAGCCATTGCAGCACGAGTTCGATTCCCGCCAGGGAGCTACCCACATGGCGCAGCAGACCTCTCCTGACTTGCCTACTGCTCCCCTCAGCAGAGTATTTCAGTCAGTCTGCCTGTTCTGTTCCCCGCTCTGTCTCTGGTGAATCCTCTCACAAACCCTGCACCCCCACACACACACACCTCTGGCCTATACCCCAGTTTTGGTATGCATAAATAAATAAATCTCTTAAAAAAGAGAGAGAGACACACACATAGTATTCCTGTATAGGAGAAGACCAAATTTTACTTAACGAATGCCTTTCATCTTTTTGAACTTTTATGTGCTTGAGTGCAATTGTATTTGTAGGATAAATGCCAAGAAATGCATGTTTCACATGGTTGGGGGCAGATTTCCCTTCTAATAAGGATCACTTTGGCTGTAGGTGGAGGATGGTTGAAGAGCCAGAACCTGAGAGTTGCATGAGGCACCTCCCTCTCCTTACCGCATATCAATCCCCGGATCTTCCCAGTTCCAGTTTCACCATAGCATTCAGTCTGGCTACTTGTCTGTACCCTTTGACCACTGCCCTAGCACAGGACAGCATCATTCCTCTCTAATGGTTCTTCCTAAAAAGTCTCCTGCCTGACTTACTCAGGATACTTGGTTGTAAACAAGGAAACCAATTCTGGGCAACTTAGGGGGGACAAGGAACTGACTTCAGCTCCTGCTGACTCTCCTAACCCCAGGAAGGACTGGGCTTGACAGCCACCCCCTCCCCATCCAGCCACCCCCTCCCCATCCACTGCTTCCATAATAAATGTGAAAAGGTGTCTCAGATGTGGATTCAAAGGCCTAATTGGAGGCATTGAAAACATGCTCCAGTTATCAGCGGTCTTGGAGAAGAAATTCTGCTTGCTCTCTGATTTTCCTGATGGAAGACAGGTCCTGCATTTCACATGTTTCTTCCCATAATAGAGGAACAGTCAGGTCCTGGGCACCAAAATGGTGTCTACAAGTCATTTTAAATCACTCTCTCTCAGCCCTGGCTCCCTATCCCCATCCACGAGCCTTCTGTGTGGGCAAAGCTGATCACACTACTTCCTGGCTTAAAACACCCTTGACAGCTCCCCACTATCCTCAAAATTAAGTTGAAATTCCTTATCTGGCCTCCAACCTCCAAGATCTATATCTCTCTGTCTCATTTCTTGCTCCTATACTCGCCCTAATGTGCCCCCTAAAAACCTAGCCCAGTGCTTTGCCTGCAGGGGCTGAATGTATGAGCCCTTACCACCTTCTTCTGCACAGCTTTAACATCACTGGCCTCCCCTCCAGAAGGCTCTTTCCCTCCCCACTCCAATTACCTCTGAAATCTGTACATTCTCACTTCATCCAAGTGTTCATTCACTTGGACACAAAGCTTCCACTAAATGAGGTACCTGGCCCTTTCAAGGCACTTCTCTTTATACCCAAATGTATCCTATAATCATCTCCACTGTCATCTTTTTTTAAAAAGATTTATTTATACAAGCACTGGGTACAGTCAGAAGCACGGGAGGGTGAGAGAATTCACCAGAGCCAGAGCGGAGAGCAGAGCAGGCAGAAGGACCGAAGTACACTGCTGAGGGGAGCAGCGGGCGGCAGGAGAGGTCTGCGCGCCATGTGGGACCCTCCTCTGGTGGCCGGGGAGCAGCCGGGGATCGAACCGGCGCTGCAGAGGCAGCGGGCAGCTTCGCAACCCAGCGTTCAACCGCTGCGCCACCGGGGAGGCCCCACTGTCATCTTTTTTTAAAAAGACTTATTTATGCATTCAAGAACTGGGTTACAGGCCAGAGGTGTGGGGCATGGGAGGATTCACCAGAGACAGACTAGGGAACAGAAAAGGTGAGTCAGGAGAAACACACTACTGAGGGGAGCAGCAGGTGAGTCAGGAGAGGTCTGCTGCGCTATGTGGGTCACCCTCCTGGCCAGGGATTGAACTCGTGCTGCAATAGCTGTGAATAGCTTCACAGTGCTGTGCTTAATCCCCTGCACCACCAGGGCGCCCCCCTCCTTTTTTTTTAAAGATTTATTTATTGCATATAAGAACTGGCGTGTAGGCCAGAGGTGCCAGAGGTGAGAGGATTTACCAGAGACAGAGCAGGAACACTGCTTAGGGGCGCTGCAGAAGACACAGAAGAGGTCTGCTGTGCCATATGTGGGTTAGCTTCTTGGCTGGGGATCGAACCCAGGCTGCAGCGGTGATAGCCCTGAGATTTAATCCCTAGGCCACCAGGGAGGCCTCCTTCACTGTCACCTTATTGATCCAGATAGCCATTCCTCTCTCCTGGAATTATGTAGCCTCCTAATTGCTCTCTCATCTTCAACTCTGGGCCCCTTAAAAGTCTACTATAACTATGGAGTTACCTTTTTGAAGTATAAACCATCCTTCCAAGGGTTTCATATTTCACTTAAAAACAAACTCCTTGCTATGGTCTACAAAGCCTAGAGTGATGGAATCGGTGCTCTTGTTCCTTCATGCCATCCCAGACCTTGGGCTTCCAGCCTGACCCGTGAATACACCAAATTTTTTCTAGGTTTAGTCTCCGCACGTGCCTATTGCCTCTGCTTGGAATTCTGTTCCTCCAAATTTTTGTGTGGTTGGATCTGCTCAGATCATACACTGAGACTTTTCCCCTCACTATTCTGTCTTAATAGCACTTATTCTCTGAGACCATTCTGTTTATTTACAGGAGTCTCTCCTATAAACCTCTTGGATGTAAGCAGGTATCTGCTGACACCTCGTTATTGCCCAGCACCTGGCTCCCTGACACGCACAAAACGAATGTTCTGTATTTTTGGATGAATGAATGGATAGGGAGCAAAGAAACCTAGTTGAATTAGGCTCTGCCTTACTCGTTGAGTTTGGGCAAGCCTCGGTTTCCTGCAGTGTGAAATGGGGGTGGAAGGAGAGAGGATGAGCCAGAGGTGCTGATTGGCTGTAAGTTTTCGGTCTCTATTCTCTCTAGTCTCCGGCGGGGATCCAGCCACTGGCCCTCAGGCGCCTCAGCTCCCCACCTGTGCAATGGGCGTGAGCTCACATCAACGTCTTGGGTTGGTAGTGCTGCCTTATAAGGCAGCAGAGGCCGAGGGCGGGCGAGGCCGTGTGGGTGGAGAGAATCACAACATCCGGCTGCGGGGGCGGGACGGGGGCGCCTGCGGCTGCCGGACCCGAGCGTCCGGGGCTGCTGGGGAGGCCGCCAGCCTCCTCCGGGTCTCTCCAGTTTCCGATACGTGCGTTCCAGGATGGACCGACCCAAAAAAATACGGCGGGACACATGGCCCAAGCAAACTCCAGGCGCTTCTCAGGAGGCCCAGGATATCATACGCGCCCCCTACAAACCCTGGAAAAGCGAAGGCGGGCCCGAACCACCCGGCCACACGCCCATCCGATGGCCCAATGACAGTGCACTACAGAGGATAACTGACATTTCCTCCATCCAATCAAACGTCCAGTCTCCAAGGCGTGACCCAGAAGACCCACCTCCGTCGTCTCAGCGGAGGGCTCGGCCCTAATTGGCAGTTCAGAATCCTACGAAGGCCCCGAAATTCGAACCTGGGGGCTGAACGCCACCCGCAGACCAACCAGGAAGAGGTGACGTATGAGGGCCCCCGCGCCTCCGCTCCTTCGAGCCGATCCCTGGCTCAGGGGGCGGGGCTACTGCAGAGGCTGGCTAATGGGAGGACGGCGCGGGGAGCGTCCGGCCGGTTAGTGGCCAAGTAAAGTAAACAGAGGGCGGGGCGGGGCGGGCCGGGCCGGGCCGGGCCGGCGCCCGGGTGGCCCCCGGGAGGGGGCGGAGAGAGCGCGGCGGGCGGCGGCGGCCGGGGAGGCCCGGGAGGCCGCGGCGCGGTCACTGCGAGCCGAGCCGAGCCGCGCCGATCGCCATCCGGCCCCGGCCCTAGCGCGATCCCGGCCGGCGGCGCGGCCCGGCGGGCCCGGCGGCGCCGCACCCCATGGAGCTCGAGAACATCGTAGCGAACACGGTGCTGCTCAAGGCCCGGGAAGGTGAGGCGGCCGGGAGGGCGGCCGGCTGAGAGGACGCTCGCGCGCGGCCTCCGAGCTCGGTGGGGCGCCCCAGCCGCGCGGTCCCCTAGGGCTCCCCGCACCAGCGCAGACACTAACCCTTCGGGCCGGTCGTCTCATCTCCTCCGCACCTGCCCCCCGGACTCAGGGCCCAGGAAGGGGCGGGGGTCAGGCCACCGCCCTCGCTGGGAGGCGGCTGCGGGGGGGCGGGGGTGAGGGAAGGAAGAGGGACGGGTGAGATCTGAGCCCCGGAGCGCCTCTCCGAACCCTCTCCCTAGTGAAAGGTGAAAAGATGCCCCAGGAAGGGGCAGCCTATCGCACGTGCCCAGGGCCCAGACCCTGCGCTGAGCTTCGGGCGCCCAGCCTGTGCAGGCACCAAGTTGGTGCAGGTTATAAGCTGAAAATGAATGAGGGACCTCTACCTTAGCACAGCCCACACGACTTGGGAAAACTGCTTCTGGTCGTATATGCTACCAATCCTACAAACACTTCCTCCGTGCCTCAGGACACTGGGGACAGAGGTGAATGAGTCACCATTTTTGACCTCAGGAAGCCCAGGGTCTAGTAGGGCAACTGGGCACAGAAATAAGTAAGAGCAGAGCTTTGAAGGAAGAGAGCATGCCCAGGTGGCCAAACCATAAGTGCAAAGCCCTGCACTTTGAGCCAGTCATATAAACCTGGTCTGTGCCTAACTTCTTCATGACTCCGGCTTCAGGTGTTATCAGGTGCTGGCTCTACGAGGTTGCAGGACACAGGAGGACCATACCTAGCCCTCACTGCTCTGTTATCAATCTGCCCCTCCCCTACCATGCCCATCTCAGTAACATAATCAGCAAACATCTACTCTGTCCTGTCCTGTCCAGGGTGCTGGAGACCCAGCATGAAGAAGACCCTTTTTGGAACTCTTGGACTGAGACAGTTTTTCCACTCTTCTGGGCTTCCAGGCTGAAAGAGTCATCTGCTTTGTTTTTGTGCCCCATTTTACAGGTGGGAAACTGAGACTCAGATGAGGCGCTAGCCCCGAGGTCACAGAGACTGACTGACTAGATCTAGGACACAGGATGTCTCCAACAGTCTGTAGGAAGCTTAGAGGAGACCCCAGCTGGCACAACATCTGGTGCTCCCTGTTGACCCCAGGGCAGGCTGGGTTCTTAGTGCCCGGAACCTTCCTTATCTTCTGTCCTCCTAGCCTCTGGTCTTCCTCACAGTCTCTGGGGGCATCTGCCGGTTCTGTTCTGCCTCGTCATCCAGCCAGCCAGGGAGGAGGAGTTGGGAGAGCCTGGCCAGGACTCCCTCCCAAGAGCTGTAGTCCATTCAGGCCTCAGGCCTACTGAGAGCACCATCTTGACTAGCTAGAGAGTGTGGGCACTCTCGGACAGGCTTCCTCAAGCTGTATTGGAGGCTCTGGGGAGTATGGTCAGACTGGGGACCCTCCCCTGAAGAACCCTCACCCCAACATGATCTGCCCCTCCCACTTGCATGACTCTAGACAAATCTCTCTTGTGAAATGGTTGGGGACAGGGAAACCAAGAGAAGGAATCCCAGTTTTCACTGAGTCCTTGGCCCATGGGCTGGCTGCATCAGAATCACTTCATGAGCTGGCTGACAGCTTGGGGTCAGGGCCTTTGCCAGGTTCCCACATGATCCAAGGCCTTCAGTGATTGGTGTATGTATACAGTTGACACCTGATAGATGCCTGTTATGTGGGGGTGGGCAAAGAGCTTGGGCTATGGTCCTGGGGAGCTGGGTTTCAGTCCTGCTTTGCCACCTTCAGAATTTGTGATCTTGGACAAATAGATTCTTCATTTCAGAACCTGGGGTTTCCCCATGAATTTGGGTCAGGTTTGGCAGAATGGCTGCAAGGATGAAGTAGGCCTGGGATGTGAGCCTTTACTCAGTCCTCCTTTCCCAGGGGCCCATGGAGGGGGCCAGGCTAGGGTGGGGAGGAGCCCACTACCGGTAGAAGTTCCACCCCAGCACAGGATATTTGCATGTGACTCTGCTTCTGCCTTGATGTGGCTGAGGGGGAGGGGGAGGAGGAAGTAACTGGTTGGGGGAGGCAGCACATGGAGAGTTGGGTGAGGGACCTGCAGGGGTGGGGGATGAGTTCCCCTTCTGGGGACGCCTGGCCCTAAGTAAGGGATGCGAGTGGGGGGTCTGTTGCTTACTAGCAGTGAAGCAATGACTGGGGTGTGCTGGGACTGACTGCAGGAGGGCTGCTAGCAAGTTTCTCAATGGGTGCCTGCAACACTTCCTCCTCCAGGCAGCTTAGGTCAGGGAGACCTACCCATTTCCCCTACACCATGTGCCTTCACCCAGTTCAGATGAAAACAAGGCTGGGGAAACTGAGGCCAGGCACAAGAAAGTGATTTCCTGAGGTTGTCATCAAGTTGTTGGAGGGATGCTCTCCTTTTGCCACAGCCCGGCTGGGAGCCAGACAGACTCCCGCTCACCCTCACAACACCTCTGGAGGTAGCTTTGGATCCAAAATGCACTGGGAGAAATTGAAGTTCTTGCAGGGCAAGTGATAAGTGTGAGTTAGAGATTCAAACACAGGTCTGTGAGACCCAAGGCACAGACCCTTTCCTCCCTTCTCAAGCTGGTGGCTGGTGAGCCACATCTGACCAGCTCTTTAGCATGTTTTATTTATTTGGCTTCAGTGGGTTTTTAATAAAAAAGGAACCCATAAGGCATACGGGTTATGTCCAGATTCCCAGATGCTTCTGAGAAATTAAATGGAAGCAGGCCACAAGCAATCAGCATTCCTGCCTAGCAACAACCAAGCAATTGGAGTTCTAATGTACTTGTCCCTGTTGGAAGGGGCATGCCTGGTACAGTTCACCACACTCCCAACCATTCCCTATTGTCTCCCACTTGACCCACATTAAGCATATCTGCCTGGCCTTATGGGCACTTGAGCCACTACCCTGGTCTCAGCAACTATACATGGGGTCAGTTAGGTAAAATAAGGTGACAAGTGTCAGGGAAGCCCTTGTGTGCAGTGGGTGGATCTTGAGTGCCAGCCATCCTGGCACCACCTTATTTCAGTCTCTGATAGCTCAAATGCGGGGGCCAGGAATAGGGAACTTTAGCTTTCCCAGTGGCCCAAGCTATTGCTTCTCGAGTATGACCTGGAATCTCTCCTTTCTGGGCCTTGATTTACCGAGTTCCCACCTTCTCTGTGATGTCCTTCACTACTTCACTTGGGACACCCCTACCTTGGAGGAAGCGGCTAAGACTGGACCCCTTGCTGAAGCTACCTGGAAACCCCACCCTCCCTCACCAGCCTGGCCTCACTGCCCCTCATGGCTTATCCAACCCAGGAGGGCCCAGGGGACAGTGTGTATCCTGGAGGCAGCAAGGGATTTTTAGAGCCTAGGGTGCCTCCCAGAGTGCACTGTGCTGAAGTTGGAACCCCAGGTCTCTAGAGCATGCTGAGGGTGAAGAGGAAGCCCAGACCCAGCACGCATTTGTTCCCACAGGTGGTGGTGGGAATCGCAAAGGCAAAAGCAAGAAATGGCGTCAGATGCTGCAGTTTCCCCACATCAGTCAATGCGAAGAGCTGCGGCTCAGTCTTGGTGAGGCCTGGGTGGAGATGGGGTTGGGGAGGTGGCTGAGGCCAGGGGGACCTACTGATGATCGGGAACCTCCCTTGAGACCTAGGCTCAGGGTGGAAGGAGAGGGTTGAGGGGTCTGGGGGGCATACATCCTGCCAAGCTCCAGTTTCTGGGTTTGGGTTAGGGGGAAAGCAGAGAGCAAACAGGATAGCAGGGGCAGGGTGTGTGGGTGTGGGGAGTAGGGCAGGTTCAGATTTGGGGCATTCTAAGAGAAGCAGAGGAAGGGAGGGTCAGGCTCACAGGACAACGCAGTGGGGGCTGGAACCACCCACAGATTGACTGTGACGGAAACTCTAGTTCTGCCCTACCCAGCAAAGCTTTAATTAAAGGCCCTCAGCCTGGGCAGTGTGGCAGGGTTCCTTGTAGAAGGGGACAGAAGGGTCTAGGCCCCCTCTGATAGCCTGCATATGGGCACGGGGTATACCGTGGCTTCTTCCACTGCTTGGGAAGGAGACCTAGCTTTGAGCTCAACGGAAGCCACAGCTTCCTCCCCACTTTCGCCAGGCAGGCAGCAGGTGTGTGCCTGGCCCTGCCCGGAACCTCACAGACCACACCCAACCCCAACCCTGTGACATATGCAAGTGATGTGAGCCAGCAAGGGGGAGGTGAGGGCCCTACTCTAGAGCCACAGTCCTGGCTATGTGACCTTGTAGACCTGTGTGTCACTTAGCCTATGTGGGTCTTGGAATCCCCAGCTCTGATGGGAAAAACAGTATTGCTTACCTCAGGGTTGTGGTGAGGATTCTAAAAGAGATTATGGCAGCCATGCTGCAGGCCTAGAAGCTGTCGCTGGGGCCCAAGGCCTGGCAGTATAGACAGAAGTGCCCCGCTGGCTGGCTCTAGGCCTGGGAACCCAGCAGCACCCACCTCTGCCCGCAGAGCGTGACTACCACAGCCTGTGCGAGCGGCAGCCCATCGGACGCCTGCTGTTCCGAGAGTTCTGCACCACAAGGCCAGAGCTGACCCGCTGCATTGCCTTCCTGGATGGGGTGGTAAGTGCAGCCCAGACCCAGGTCCAGAGGCCTCAGGCAGAGGATGAGTGGAAGTCCCAGGCCACATGTGCCCAAGCTCCCCACACCTGTCGCTCTTCCCATCCCCCAAACGTCTCTGCCTCCATCCTGCAGGCTGAGTATGAAGTGACCCCTGATGAGAAGCGGAAGGCGTGTGGGTGGCGGCTGATGCAGAATTTTCTGAGCCACACGGTGAGTGAGCAGTGATGGAGGGATGACAGCAGTGAGCACAGCTCAGTGATGGGGAGAGAAATGACCACAGCCTGGGCAGAGAGTACCCTGGAGCTGCTCCAGGCGCACCAGGCAGTTCTGTGGGCATGGAGCCCAGGAGGACAGAGCAGCACTCTGAGCCAAATAGGCTGCCAGCGGCTCTGTTTCACCCTGCCCCAAGAGGCGCAACAGGATGGAATTCTGCAAACTGGGCACTCGCTGGTGTTCCCTTGACCTACAGCCACCCCAGACACAGACTTGAGATATCTTCCATCTCTGCCCAAGATATCTGCCATCTTGCCCTTGGACAAGGGGGACCCCCTGCACTGACCTGTGGTCTGTCCCCAGGGTCCTGACCTCATCCCCGAGGTTTCCCGGCAGCTGATAACTAACTGTGCCCAGAGGCTGGAACAGGGACCCTGCAAAGACCTCTTCCAGGAGCTCACCCGGTAAGCCTCTCGCTGCCACAGGCCTGGAATTGTGTCCAGAGGAGGGACTTCTGTGGGCCTAGAAGGCTGTAAATAGCACAGCAGCTAGGCTGAGAGGGAGCTTGTCTTTTCTTCCTGGCCTTGCTCTGCTGTGGGACTTGGGGAAGGTGCCTGCCCTCTGTAGCATCCTCAGCTTCAGCATGGGCAGTATGTCTGCCACCTGGGGAGGTGGGGTGGCAGTAGAGGATGATGCATTTTGGGCTCAGCAGGCACCAAACAAGGGGCCTGGCCCATTGAGCCAAGAACCTGTGGGATCAGGCTGACTGGCAGGCTGGGCCTTCTCAACAGACTGACCCACGAGTATCTGAGCATGGCCCCCTTTGCTGACTACCTCGACAGCATCTACTTCAACCGTTTTCTGCAATGGAAATGGCTGGAAAGGTGAGTTCATCGAAGGCTGGACCAGGATAGACCAGGTTGCTAGGGTTCTCGTGGGCCTTGGGCCCCAGCTCAGCTAACATTTGCTCCCCAACCCCTTGCCCACAGGCAGCCAGTAACCAAAAACACCTTCAGGCAGTACCGAGTGCTGGGCAAAGGTGGCTTTGGAGAGGTGAGTGGCCAGGCCAGAGGTCAGAACATGGACTAAGTTGGATCCTGAATCAGCCCCTTCCCCCATCTAAGCCCTTGGAAGGGCATGCCCCAGGAAGGGCATGGCTGATTCCCATTTGCCCCATCTACTCTGGCTCTAGGTGTGTGCCTGCCAGGTGCGGGCAACAGGCAAGATGTATGCCTGTAAGAAGCTGGAGAAGAAGCGGATCAAGAAACGGAAAGGGGAGGCCATGGCGCTGAACGAGAAGCAGATCCTGGAGAAAGTGAACAGTAGGTTTGTAGTAAGTACAGACAGAAGACTCACCCTCCACCCTGCCCTGACCCCTTGGAGATGCCCAGGAAGGCAAGACTTTGGGTGTTGGCACCAGACCTGGGGAGCAGGTAGGGCCCCAAGCAACTGAAGGATTTTGGGGGTGACTAGTACCAGCCCTGCCATTAGGTGGCCTGAGGCCCCTGCTTGAGGGCATGGATCCCCTTGGCTACAGGTGAGCTTGGCCTACGCCTATGAGACCAAGGATGCACTGTGCCTGGTACTGACGCTGATGAATGGAGGTGACCTCAAATTCCACATCTACCACATGGGCCAGGCTGGCTTCCCGGAGGCTCGAGCTGTCTTCTACGCTGCTGAGATCTGCTGCGGCCTGGAGGACCTGCACCGGGAACGCATCGTGTACAGGTTGGGGGCTGGCAAGGCACAGGTGGAAGTGGGGGCTGTCATTGAGGCTACAGTCTGCTGCGTACTGGCTCAGGGCTCCAGACTCAACCATACTGGAGGACTTGAGAGGCTCAGGACCCAGCCCTTTGTGTCCGACAGACACAAGTGTGAATCCAGTGTTGCTGACCCTTTCTGTGTGATCTTGGACCAGTCAGCTCCCTGCTTCCAACACTATTATCTTTCCTGGGAAGCAGTTTATAATTTCTACCCCTACCCCTACCAGACATGGAGCCTGGCACAGAAGGCTCAACTGTGAACTCTGCTTATTATTGTTCTTGGTGATGATTTTGTTTGAGCCTCCCAACAGCCCCAGGAGGGGGTGGATGAATAGGCCCATTTGACAGATAGGAAAGTAGAGTCAGCCACCAAAGGGGAGAGAAGTAGGGAGCTACTCACCACCAAGGGCAAGCAAGACTATTGATTTGTTCTCTACTTCACCCCTGCCTTGGGTGGGAGGTACCTTCCATTTGCCTGGCAAGCTTTGGCTGCCCTGGCTCTGTAGATCCTTCCTGGTTCCCTGGCAAACAGAGCAATCTCTGACCCTGCCCTTTTCTCCCTGCAGGGACCTGAAGCCAGAGAACATCCTCCTGGATGACCACGGTAGGTGGAGAGCCATAGGGATGGTAGGGGGTGGGGAAGCCCTGGCCCACCTGCTTAATGGGGCTCCTGCACCTCCACTCACATTTAGGTCATATCCGCATCTCCGACCTGGGGCTGGCTGTGCATGTGCCCGAGGGCCAGACCATCAAAGGCCGAGTGGGCACTGTGGGCTACATGGGTGAGTCTCCCTCCAGCCTGGGCCACCCATCTCCTGGGTCTCCTCACTGACTTCCAACACTATTATCTTTCCTGGGAAGCAGTTTATAATTTCTACCCCTACTACCAGATTGTAGGGACCAGACATGGAGCCTGGCACTGAAGGCTCAACAGTGAACTCCCCCACTGATTCAGTTTGGGAGTCTCCTGAGCCCTAGGAACTAGAAAGAGCTGTTGTTTTCCTCTTGTAGATTAGGAGAGCAGCATTCAGCCAGGGGCCTGCACACATGTGAATTCACATCATTCCTGTACCTGATACTTATTTGCTGGGCTTGCACCTGGCTACCAGTGAAGGGTGAATGGGGACTCAAACCCCTTTTCATAGGCGTAGCCCCACTCTGAGCTCCCAGGGACTGCATGACACTAAGGTCCCACCTTTTGCTTATTGTGTTTCCTTGGGCCAGAGCACCCTGCACCATCCCTGCCTCACAGCATCACTTTCTGCAAGTATAATACCTGCCCCTAGGGTAGCCTTGAGCATGCAGTAGAGGCAAACCCTGGTAGGCAGACTGTTTTGCAAATGAGACTTCTCCTTTCCCATGTTAAATCCAGAGGTTGCAAACTGGTAGCTACACCGGCCTTATTTGGCCTACTTTTGTGCTCAAATCAAATCATTTTAAAAATAGTTTGAATTGGTCATTAACATTGAGAAAGCCAGGCAGCCATATATTAAAATATGAGTTTGTCTTTCCTTGAAAAAAAGCAGAAGAGGGCCTCCCCGTGGCGCAGCGGTTGAGCGCTGGGTTGCGAAGCTGCCCGCAGCCTCTGCAGCGCCGGTTCGATCCCCGGCTGCTCCCCGGACACCGGAGGAGGGTCCCACATGGCGCGCAGACCTCTCCTGCCGCCCGCTGCTCCCCTCAGCAGTGTGCTTCTGGCCTTCTGCCTGCTCTGCTCCCCGCTCTGGCTCTGGTGAATTCTCTCACCCTCCCGCGCTTCTGACTACCTAGTGCTTGAATAAATAAATAAATCTTAAAAAAAAAAAAAAAAGCAGAAGACCTGGCCCTGGCCCCCCTGCTGTCCTTTGATGGGCCAAGCACTCTCCTACTCTTGGGTGCCCACGGGTGGGTGGGTGTTCATTTGAGCTGATCCACTGTAATGTGTGTGGGGCATTCTGGGCCCCTGGGCTAGGCTCCCACCTCCCACCCAGCGCTGATCCCCACGCCCCTCTGCCCAGCTCCCGAGGTGGTGAAGAATGAGCGCTACACATTCAGTCCAGACTGGTGGGCACTAGGCTGCCTCCTGTATGAGATGATTGCAGGCCAGTCACCCTTCCAGCAGAGGAAAAAGAAGATCAAGCGGGAGGAGGTGGAGCGGCTGGTGAAGGAAGTGCAGGAGGAGTATTCCGAGCGCTTCTCGCAGCAGGCGCGCTCGCTCTGCTCCCAGGTGGGCTCTGTGGACAGTGGGCGCGGGCGGCCAAACTAGTGGAGTGGAGGCATGTATCCCCAGCCACCCTGACTGACCCTGCCTTGTTGTAGCTCCTCTGCAAGGACCCTGCTGAGCGCCTGGGCTGTCGTGGAGGCAGTGCCCGAGAAGTGAAGGAGCACCCCCTCTTCAAGAAGCTGAACTTCAAGCGACTAGGAGCGGGCATGCTAGAGCCACCTTTCAAACCTGACGTGAGTACTGCCCACTGCGGCTGAGGGCAGACCTAGCCTGGCGCGGGCTGGGGACCCTTGGAGGGTAGGTTAGTATATGTTCTGTGCCAGAGTCAGAACACCCAACTTAGATGGCTTAGCCAGCAAAGACATCAGTTGCCCCAGCTATCTGAAAATAGAACTTTGTGATTTGATATGAGTTGGTAGGATTTGGAGTGGGGGGCTGGGAACCCTGTTATCCCATTAAGTAAATAATTTTTTTTTAAAGATTTATTTTTATACAAGAACTGCGGCACAGGCTAGAGGCGTGGGAGGGTGAGAGGATTCACCAGAGACAGAGTGGGGAGCAGAACAGGCAGATGAAGACACTGCTGAGGGTAGCAGCGGGTGAAGCAGGAGTGGTCTGCTGCGCCATGTGGGTATCTCCCTGGCTGGCCAGGAATCAAACCCACACTGCAGAGGCTGCGGACAGCTTCACAGCACTGTGCTTAACCTGCTGTGCCACCAGGGAGGCCCAGTAATTAATTTTTTAAAAAAATTTGTTTATGCATACAAGAACTGGGGTGTAGGCCAGAGGTGTGGGGGTTGGGGGACGGTGAAAAGATTCACCTGAGACAGTGGGGAGCAAATTAGGTGGATTGACTGAAATACAGTACTGAGTGGAGCAGCAGGTGAGACAGGAGAGGTCTGCTGCGCCATGTGGGTTAGCTCCCTGGCCAAGGATTGAACTCGTGCTGCAGTGGTGACCAATAGCTTCATAGTGCTGAGACTTAACCCATATAAATAGGATAGGGTCTCCAATGCTTTTAGTGTCCAATGTTGAAGTGTCCCTAGACCCAAAAATAACTTACCAGGTCATACCAAGTAGGCACACTCTACTTTCAGATATTGAGGGAGGGCCTCCCTGGTGGCACAAGGGGTTGAGCGCGGCTCTGTGAAGCTGACTGCAGCCTCTGTGGTGTGAGTTCGATCCCTGGCCAGGGAGCTACCCACATGGCACAGCAGTCCTCTCCGGACTCGCCCGCTGCTCCCCTCAGCAGTGTACTTCAGTCTGTCTGCCTGTTCTGTTCCCTGCTGTCTCTGGTGAATCCTCTCACCTCTGGCCTATACCCCAGTTCTTGTAATCATAAATAAATAAATATTAAAAAAAAAAAAAGATATTGGGGGAAACCTGTAATCCTCTAGGCTCACACAGAAAGCCCCAGGAGGATTTTTGAAGTGGGAAGAGGTGATTAAGAGTTTCTAAAATTAATTGTGTGATGGTTACACAACTCTGAATATGCTAAAAGCCTTTGAAATATATGGCTTTTATTTTTAATTTTTTTTTTTAAGATTTATTTATTCATGCATACAAGAACCAGGGTACAGGCCAGATGTGCGGGAGGGTGAAAGGATTCACCAGAGACAGAGCAGAGAACAGAACAGGCAGAATGACTGAAATACACTGCTGAGGGGAGCAGCGGGTGAGACAGGAGAGGTCTGCTGCGCTATGTGGGTATCTCGCTGGCCGGCCAGGATCAAACCCGTGCTGCAGAGGCTGCGGACAGCTTCACAGCGCTGCACTCAACCGCCTGCGCCACCAGGGGAAGCCCTGAAATATATGACTTATAGGTCCGTCTTTTGGCTTACCCGGAACCAGGTCTCTAACCATGCTACATGAATTCTGTCTCACTTCCTTTCCTACTGGTCACCTTACAGTCTTTATACCCAGGCTGCTGTCACCAGTACACAGCAGTGGGCTTAGTCCAGACCCACATGCTACTAGCTTAGCCACCCCAGTTGACCTACAGTGCCTCTCATCTAATCATTTTAAAAAAAAAAACTGAAGGGAAAAAAAAAGTCCTGAGGCAGCTCCTCATTGCATGTAATTACTCAGAGGCCCCTTGGTGGCTACCTCTGGATCACTGGCCCACATAAACCGCTGCCCAAAGGAAAACCAAGATGCTGATGCCAACAGGGGTAGGGTTGTTGTGCTGGCAGGACAAGGGCTGCCTGTCACACCAGGTAACTTTGACCTCTGGGCCTTCAGCAAGAGAGTCCCCTTTATAGAGTCTCATCCATTCACTGAATATCTCAGTGGATCAGGCTTCCTACAGGCAGGAATACCCTCGAGTCATCAGATTCCAAGTAATAGAAACCTAACACAAACGTGTGCCCGATGTTGAGCTTACTGGTTTCTTTGGCTAGAAAGTCCCAGATCAGCCCCAACATAAGGGCCTCATACCTTGTTGCCAGGATTCCATCTCTTGGTTCTGCTCAACCCGTTGACTATCCTCCGCTGAGTATAAGGTCACAGGGAAGGTTCTGATCATCCAGGTTATGTGCTTGTCCTTCTCTCATGTTCAAGTGGACCAGGTCCTGTGATTAACAGTTCACCAGAAAAACAGGGGAGACTAGAAGGTGGTGGACAGGACAGGCCGATGACTGTCAGTCACACACGTGATTGTTCATTTACTCAACAAATATCTGAGTGTCTGATCTCAGAGTGAGTTAACAGGACCCAGCTCTACCTTTGTATGAGTTCTAGTGGGGAGATCCACCAAATCAACCAGTAGAGGGAAAAAAATGTCAAGTTGTGGAAAGAGCAAAAGAGAAGAAAGAAGCAGACTAAGATGATGAGGAATGATGTGGGGTGGGCATACGTATTTTTAGACAGGATGGTTTCTGTAGAGCTCACAGTTAAACAGAAGCCTCAAATGTGTGAAGGAGAGAGCAGTGCTAAGATTTGGGTGGGGAGAAGGAACAGCATGGAGGGCTGGGGCAGGGACCAGCTGTAAGTGGCATCCAGGGTGCCAGTGTGTTTGGAGAAAGATATGATTCTTATTCTTAGTGTGATGGGCCTTTAGGAACTGTCACCAAGCATGAGGTGTGGGTAGTAGGCCATAGAAGGGTAAGTGGAAGTGAGAGGTCAACTAGGAGGCTAGGAGGTCAACTACGCCTCTGAAGGGTTGTGTCATGTAGGCCTCACTCATGGGTAGTACCTGGCTTCCAGCAGCCTTCCTCGGGGCTGGCACAGCCACTGTAGTCTACACCTTCCCATTTCCTGTGCACATCATCTCATTAACCTTCAAGTCATTTTACTGCCCCCCAGTCTTTCATACAAAGTTAGAGAGAAAATCAGTGCTCTGGAGCTTAACCTTTTAGAAGCAGCAGGTGAAAATAGAGCTCAGTGATGGTATCATTTTTACCAGCCCTAAGCCCTATTGAGATTTTACCAGCCGTAAGCCCTATTGAGATTTAATTCACATACCATGGAATTCTCTTTGTGTGTGTGTGTGTGTGTGTGTGTGTGTGTGTGTAGAAGAACTGGGATATAGGCCAGAGGTGTGGGAGGGTGAGAAGATTCACCAGAGAGAGTGGGGAGAAAGAACAGGCAGATTTACTGAAATACACTGCTGAGGGGAGCAGCAGTTGAGACAGGAGAGGTCTGCTGTGTCATGTGGGTCAGCTCCCTGGCCAGGAATTGAACTCAGGCCATAGCGGTGATAGCACTGAGACTTAATCCCTAGGCCACCAGGGCAGTCCCAATTCATTTAATAAAGTGTATAATTCAGGGGCACCCCTGGTGGTGCAAGAGTTTAAACATCAGCACTATGAAGCAATCTGCAGCTACTGCAGCACAAGTTTGATCCCCGGTCAGGGAGGTGACCCACATGGCGTAGCAGACCTCCCCTGTCTTGCCAGCTGTTCCCCTCAGCAGTGTATTTCAGTCAATCTGCCTGTTCTGTTCCCTACTCTGTCTCTTGTGAATCCTCTCACCCCCCGCATCTTTGGCCTACATCTCTGGCACTTATATGCATAAATAAATAAATCTTTTTAAAAAAAAAAAAGTAAAGTGTATAATTCAATGACTTGTAGTATACTTACAAGAGTTGTGCAATTATCAACATAATTTTAGGACATTTTCATCATCACACCTCCCCTCCAGAGAAACCCCATATCCATTAGCGGTCATTTTCCCATTCTCTATTCCCCTGGCCTTTGGCCACCACTAGTGTCCTTTCTGTCTCTTTATATTTGACTATTCTAGACATTTCGCATAAGTGGAGTTAGATGCTATATGATCCTTTGTGTCTGGCTCCTTTCACTTCGCGTGGTGTTTTCAAGGTTCATCAGTGTTGTCGCATTTATAGCACAGCCACGTGCCACATCACATTTCAGTGGTGGTCCCTAAATACAGCATGAGTGTGTCATAGGCTAGACCATCTAGGTTTGTACAGTTACTCTATAACATTCACACAATGACAATATTGCCTAGTGATCCATTTCTCAGGACATTTCCCTATAGTTAAATGACACGTGACTGTGCTTTGGTCCGTTTTTATGACTGCATATTCCATTGTGTAAACATGTGACACTTTGCTTATCCACTCATCAGTTGATGGACAGTAGGATCATTTCTACTTTTTGGCTACTATGAATAAGCTTTTGTATGGACATATATTTCCACTTATCTTGGGTATACACCTCAGTGGAACTGCTGCTGACTCGTAGGGTAGTGCGGTGTTTAACCCTGGTGGGGAACTGCCAGGCGTCTTTCCAAAGTAGCTGCACCCTTTTACAGAATGTTGTCTTCATTAACATCCTTAATAGCAGCATTTAGAAAACAATGTAAAGACAAACAAGCAAGGGGCCTTCTGGAGTGAGGAGGGCTCCTGTCAGAGGCCTGGGGTATGGGAAGGCAGGAGGGCTGGTTGGCTGTGGAACATGTAAAATGTCCACTGGACATCCCTGGAAGAGAACCCACCAGCCCGAGGTCCTACAGAGGGGTGCCGCACTGAGAGGTCCAGCTGAGATTCAGCCCTACTCACCTCACCCATTGCACCCCCAGATGGCATGTATACATGGATGGCATGTATGTTATCACTTCCACAGCTCCTCGGGACCTGGGCGGGTACAACAGATCCCACAGACTGGTTAATGAGCAGTGAGGAATAATGATCCCCAGTCTACAGAGGGGAAACTGGGCCTCAGAAAAGACTGCTGTGATTTACGAAGTGTATAAAGCACCCCATTTCTGGCTCCAAACTAGAGAGCTCCGGGAGGCAGGCACAACCAGACCTATGCTGGAATAAATCTCTGGGTTAAGCTACCTTCCTGTCTGTGTGTCTTTCTGTGTGTCTGTGTATCTATATACTTCTGTCTATGCGTGTCTGTGTGTGTGTATATATGTATGTGTCCAGGTGTGTCTGCGTGTATGTATCTGTCTTCTGCGTCTGTGTATCCATGTCTCTGTGTGTCTTTGTGTGTATGTGTATTTGTTTCTTTGTGTGTGTGGTCTGTGTCTGTGGTGTTCCTATCTGACCGCCACTTCTGCCCCCCTAGCCCCAAGCCATTTACTGCAAGGATGTTCTGGACATCGAACAGTTCTCCACGGTTAAGGGTGTGGAACTGGAGCCCACTGATCAGGACTTCTACCAGAAGTTTGCCACGGGCAGCGTACCCATCCCCTGGCAGAATGAGGTGGGGCCTGCTCAATGGAAGGGGTGGGCTTCAGGGGGGTAGTTCTGGGGGACGCTCTGACTGCTGCCTGTCTGTGGCAGATGGTGGAAACTGAGTGCTTTCAGGAATTGAATGTCTTTGGACTGGACGGCTCAGTGCCCCCTGATCTGGACTGGAAGGGGCAGCCGCCCGCACCCCCCAAGAAGGGACTGCTGCAGAGACTCTTCAGTCGCCAGGTAACCCCCAGTGGTATCCCACCTGGACCCCCAGCCTGGCTCCTGGGGACGGTGGGTGGGAGGCAGAGCCGGTGCCTGCATGTGCTGGAAGTAGACAGCCACCAGCTGTGCCAGTGGTGCCAGGGTCTCTGGCCTCATTCCCGCCTGTCCCCCACCCCTTGGCTGGGCTCACGGCCTCTTTTCTCTTTCCAGAGGTGAGCAGTGTGGGCTCCCCGTGGGTTGACCTTGCTGCCCAGCCTCGGGGAGCCACAGGCAGCCCTTCCATGGCAGAGGCGAGATGTGGGCGAAAGAAGTCTGGTGCCCGCTTCCCCCTCCCCTGCCCCATTCCCACTGCTTCTGTCACCTGCACCCTGGCATCTTCGAGCTGCTGGCCTTGCTTAGCCGTCTTGTCTCCCCATGCCCTGCCGCCACTGGCCCCAGGGGAAAAGGGCTAGATGAGGCTTTGCCTGGCAGAGTCTGGGGTTTACCTCTTCCCCCTGACTTTAGTATTTCTGGCAGCCTTGCACAGATGTCCACACATGACCCCTTGTGGTGATCCCCTTCCCCAGAGCATGGCCCTGGGCAGCACCTGGACTGGCCTCAGTGACAACCCTGTGGCTAACAGCGCTCGCTCTGCCTCTCTCCCTCCGTGTCTTCCCTGCCCCTCCAGGATTGCTGTGGGAACTGCAGCGACAGTGAGGAAGAGCTCCCCGCTCGCCTTGAGCTCCCCACCCACCTCGAGCTCCCCACCCGCCTCTAGCCCCCTGCCTGAGGCCCCCAACAGCAGTTGGCGGTAGCAGCCACTCCAGGCGCCGTTTACAGTTTTGCACAGTGGTCTTCCCCATTGTCCACTCAAGCTGTGGCCTGGGGAACACAGCCGGAGCTAACCCCAGTGTGCTCTGCCCCTCAACCCAGGTCTGGCTGAGTTTGGCAAGGCCTGTGCTGTCCCTGGGACAAAGGTGCATCCCTTCAGCTCTTGTCTGTGGAGCTCGGGACTTTCTGTATTTATGTATTTGTACGAATGTATATAGTGACTAGAGCGTTCTAAGACCTACCCCAGAGCTGGCAGAGGGGCCACTGCCAAACTCAAGGCTCCTCAGGTCCAGCTTGGATAGGCCAGGCCCTGAGCCCCCAGCACTGTGCTCGCCACCGCTGCCGCCGCCACCGACCTCTGAGTGAGACTTGTGCCTGCCCTGCTGCCCTGGGCTCAGGCCACCACTTTTGGGGGCCCGATGCTGCCCCTTCTCAGCACTTGCCAGAGCTGGAGCTGGGTCCTCTGTGTCCCCTGGGCCTGTGCCAAAGTGTGACCGGAGATTGGTCTAACCCTGGGACCATCATCCACTGCCAGGCTATCCCAGATGGGTTGCCTCTGCCTTCCAGCCCCGAGGGCGCCTTGTCCCTCCTGCTGGGCCCTGCCCTGAAGACTCCTCTTGCTGAACATCCCAGCCTAGGCCATGGAAAGGGAGGAATCCCTTGGCCAACCCTCGAACATTCCAGACTCCCCTCATAACAATAGACACATATGCCCAGCAATAATCCTCCCCTCCCATGTGGGGTGTGTGTCTGTGTGACATGTGTGGTGTGCGTGTGTGTGTCTGAAGGAGGTAAGCTGAGGCTGTGTCTACACCTCAGGCCCAGCTCTGGCCCTTCCCAGACTGTGACATCTGTCCTGGTCCCAGTGTAAGGGTGGCATGGGATTACAGGGCCCTGGTTTTTCCTATTTAAAGTCAATTTTTATTATTCATTTTGTCCAATGTAAGCTGCCACATATCTCTGTGAATACAGTCCGAGCACAAACCTGGCCAGCCACCCTTGCCTGCCTTTTTCTTACTCCTGGTGCTCCAAGGGTCTTCTTGCTTCCCAGATCCTGCTGGAGTGGGAAGGGTTTAGTGGTAGGCCTGGCAGCAAGGCCCAGGAGCCCCAGGGCTGCTTTTATGGTAGCCTCTCAAGTGACCAGGTGTTTGTGATTTTTGGGCTCAACCTATGGGTTACTTGGGCTCCTGAGTGGGGTGAGGCATGAGAGAAGCAGCCTTGGGTCCTCATCAGGTGTGTCTGCTGGCAAAGCAGGCCCAGATAGTAGTGTCACCTCCAAGGCTAAAGTGGCCTGGCTACCAGTCTTGGGAATGGTCTGGGGAGCAAGGTGGGAGGTGCAATTAGGAACACCTGCCTGCTCTGTCTTACCTGGGTGCCTGCTGTGCATCCAGTCTGGGGCTAGCAATCATACTTAAGAGCCAGTGGTCCTCTGCTCTGCTCTTGAAGCAGGAATGGTGGCTGGACAAACTGGCAATGCTGGGAGCTAGGCTGTGGGAGCCAGTGGGGATCCACCACATGAGCATCAGGGAGGGTCCTCTGCCGACACCAGTTGAACTGGGATTTTTTTTTTACATTTTTATTATTTTTTAAAAAATTTATTTACTTATACAAGAACCAGGATACAGGCTAGATGTGCAGGAGGGTGGGAGGATTCACCAGAGACAGACTGGGGAGCAGAACAGGTGGACTGACTGAAATACACTGCTGAGGGGAGCAGTGGGTGAGATAGGAGAGGTCTGCTGTGCCATGTGGGTTAGCTCCCTGGCCAGGGATCGAACTCATGACTCATGCTGCAGTGGCTGGCAATAGCTTGATAGCGCTAAGATATAACCCCTGCACCACCATGGAGACCCTTGAACCGGGATTTGAAAGAGACATTCATTTGAGGGGACAGAGGGTTCGGAAGCATTCCATCTATGCTAAGACTTGGAGTTAACACCTATTGACCCCAGATCTGACCCAGACTTCACAAACTCATTGCTGTTTAGCCTCCCCAGGGCCCTGCTCTTTCCTCCAAGGAACACCTGCCCCCAATACCATCCCCCACTTCAAACCCAGCCCCCCCCCCCAGAACATTTGTTCCTTGTCTCTGGGCTGGGTACCAATACCACAGAAGCCATAGCTTTGCAGTTGGACAGTTCTGGGTTCAAGTTCAGCCTGGACACTAAAGCAGGCTCCCTTATCTGGAAAGATGGATGCCCGTAAGAACCCACCAGAGCAGATAGTCACACATACATACACAAGGTCCTTAGGTCACTGGTAGGATGCAAGTGCTGGATGCCAAGCCAAGAACTAGTTCAAGGACAGGAGGTTCCAGGCACTGACTTAGTAGAAGGGGCCTCTGGGGCCCAGCTATTGGTGTATGGAGCACCAACTCCCTCTTCTGTTAACTTGAGGGAAACACTAAGGAAATAACCTTTACTAAGGTCTTCCAGCCAGTGCGTGGCTGGAGATGGATTGGAAGCCAGCTGCTGCTGATGGAACTGGATCCTGCTCATTAGGTTGGAGCTGAGGCACAGTTGCCCCTCTGTGCCAGTTTTTGTTGGGGGCAGGAAGGGTGGTTAGGTAGGTATTGGTGTGCAGAGGCCAAGCCCAACCCTGTACAAGGGTGAGTAGGTGCCAGATGAATGGTAGGTCCCCAAGGTATGCTGCCTGTTGTGGTGGGTCTAGGCCTCCCACCAAGCTCTCCCTTGGCCCAGGGAGGCATCTAAAGAACTTGGTTGGGGTTCAGTTCAACCTGAAGCTTTTACCATAGTGGATCCTAGTTGGAGGTAACCCACAATTCAGTTCCTAACAAGCCTTCCCTAAGCTCATCCCCTCCCCATCCAGCTCTATGGTGGGAGCTGGGGACCCAGATGGAGACAAGGCCCCCGCCAGCTTGGAGCTCAGTCTGGTAGGGAGGCAGACGTGGGAACAGTGGGACCCAGCGCGATTACTGTGGCAGAGACAATTCTAGAACTGGCAGGGCTGGGACTGCTGCAGTACTGGAGATAAGGCCAACAACAAGTAGAGAAGGTCACTTGACCACAGAGTTGTCAAATTCATGCCCTCCAGGACACAGGACCAGTTATGCCCAGATGGAGGAGACAGGGTCTCCAGTAGTTTAGGGCAGCTGAATGTCAGTTGGGGGGGGTGGGTAGGGGTTCCTGGAAGAAGGGAGTGGCTGGAGCTGAGGTCAGTGTTCATGCAATGCTGTGAACACGAGAATGTGGGGCCTCATCTATTGATAGAAGACGGGAGTCCCTGAAGGGTTTTAACGTCATGTTAGGGTGTCTGCCCAGTATATACAAAAGAACCCAAAGATTCTTTGGGCTGCTCATCTCTCAGCCCATGTTGTTGAGATGGGACTGGGGTTTTGCTTGCACCCCCTGAACACACATATATTACACACACCTACAGCTTGTGACCCAGGTGGCACTGTTAAGGATCTTTGGTTTCAAGTGACAGATGTGTCCTCCAGCTAACCTAGAAGGTGTTTAAAGGATATGCAGGGAACTGATAGGGAAAACAATAACTGGGGAAGCTCTGGGGTCTTATCCTGACCCCATTTCTCATCAGGGCCTTTGCATCACTGAGTCTTACTTCAAACTCAAATGTCTGTCTGGGAACCTGCCCAATGTGCATCAGGGGAGCAGGACAGTTGGGGAAACCCATGAAGTTCAGTGAGTCCCCCTGATGAAATTAGGGTGCTTACACTGAAAGAGATTATAGATACTGGTGTGTTGAACACATGTCCCCTTCCCCAGTCATGGCCACCTGGATTTATTCACCAATGGACATTTGAGATGAGTCAGTCAGTGGAGCATGGGAGTGAGAGGTGGGAGTTACTAGAACTAGTGAAAGAATTGCGAGGTGACAGAGTGAAAGCCTAAAGCTTTGGATCATCCTTGCCACCATTTGGGGGAGAGTTTGCACGAGGATGATGCACAGAAGAAAGTGGAGAGGAGAGGGCGGATAATGCCTGAAGTCACTGCTGGAACCATGGAGCCAGAGTTGCTACCCTTGGACATGAGTCCCCCTCAGGCTCAAACCTATTTGGTATGTTCTGTCACAACCCAAAATGTGCTGGCTGACGTAGGGGTGGAGGGTGTTTTTGGAAGATCATCTTTTTGTGGTAGAGAAGTTGGACTAGAAACAATCCAGTTAAGAGGCTGATGGACATCCAGGTTCAGCCTTGACCCCAGTCTAGACAGTAGGACATTCACCAAGGTTCCCCTCTCCCTAGAGATGAGCAGGGGCCATAGAGGCCTGGGCCATGAAATAAAGACTGGTTCCTCCTCCCTCTGCTACTTGCTAGTGACCAAGTGGTGATGCATGCTTGTGGGGGGCACAGTGGGCGAGGTCTGAGTTAGAAGGGACCGTATTGTCGTATTTTCGCGGTTGGAGCCATGCTGGGGTGCCTACCTGCTTCAACCCCTGACCACTGGATGTGTGCAGGGCCTCCCAGGATGTGGCCGGGGCCTGGGCGTGTGTGTGGCTTCCGGGATGAGCTGTTGTGTGTCAGGGTTTTTGACCTGAGGATGCTTAACTGAGCATCCTGTGTGTTCTGCCGATTGTGGGCCCCGAGTCGCATGGCGTGTGCCCGCGCCCGGGCAGCTGTTTGCCAGGAGCTGTGTGGCGTGGAGCGTGCATGCCCTGTACAGGGTGAGCCCGCGTGCGGAGTCCGGGCGCGGCAGATGTGCCGGGTCCTCCTCCTGTGCTCCCCGGGCAGCTCCATCGGCCGCGAGTGGCTGGGGGTGGGGCCCTCCCGGCGGCCGCGCGCGCGCACGCCGAGCTCGGGACGCGCCGTGTACGCGCCCGTGCGCGCGCCCCGCGGCTCCAGCCCAGCGCTCGGAGCCGCCTTCGCTGCCACAGTCGGCTCCCCCGGGCCGCCGCCGCCTCCCCCAGGCCGGGGGCTCTGTCCGCTGGGCCCGCGCCGCTCGCTCCGAGCCAGGAGGACGAGCTCGAGGAGGATGCCTGGGCCCGTGAGTACCGCGGAGGCGGCGGCGGCGGGCCGGGCGGGCACGGGGCACGGGTGGAAGATGGTCCTGGGGCTGAGCCCCTCCCCGCGGGCTCCTCAGCGCCCCGGCCCGGGGTCGCCGCCCCGGACCCCCGCCCCGGCCAGCCCGTCTCCCAGCCCGCACTGGAGAGAGGGAGGGAAGCAGGGAGGGAGAGGGAGGGCGCCAGAGAGCGAGAGAGCCAAAGCCGGGCGCGAGCCGCCACCGGTTCGCTTGGAAACGGTTGCCACAGCAACGGGGTTGCGCTCCCCGGCAACGCGGCCGTGGGGCGGCGACGCCCCCTCCCACCCCTCCCCCACCCCACGCGGAGCCGCAGCCCCGGGAGCGAAGGGGTGCGGGGTCGCCCCCTCCCCGGGTGGGGAGGACTAAGCTCCTCTGACCCTGGGTGTGCCTGCCTCTATAGCCCGTCGGGAGTGGGGGTGGGGGTCGAGCAGCCCAGTGGGCCCGAGCCGGCCCCCACGTGGCTGCAGTCGTCGCAGCAGGGCTCCTGGGGTGGCTGCAAATGTGGGGGCGGCCCACCCTGGGCCTTCCGCGGTAGAGGAGGCATGGAGGCTGGGTCCAGGGTCTGTGCCCGGCAACCACCACCACTGACCTGACCGGGACCCCCGGAGGCGATGTCCCTTACCCAAGAGAGGAGAGAAGCGCTCATCCCTGACCCTCATGGCCAGGGCATGTGCCAAACCGCGACTCACTCGGCAGGCGGTTGGTCTCTGCTCCTAGTTCCAAGCCACCATTCTTGGGGAGGGGTGCGAGCAACGTGGGCAGGAGCAGAGGAAAGGACATTGCTGATCCAGGGAAGCCCAAGCCCAAGCCAAATGGGAGCGTCCCAGCCCATTGTCTTAATCACAAGTGTCTCTTTCTTGTCTGAGCACAAAGCCCAGACTGTGCTGGGTGGTGTGCAGGTTGGCTGGCTGGCAGGCCAGCGCCACATGGAGATGCCCTGTCCTCCAGAGGAGCTCCTCTGGGAGAAGAGTGGCCGCTGAGTCAGAGGAAATGACCCCTGGCTCCCCTCCCAACCTCCCCTCAGAGGGCAGTGTGCTGGGGAGAGAAACTGCCCTCCTGCCAGCTCTTTGGGCCTGACTCAGCAGATGCCAGCCCTGACCGCATGCCTCCTCAGACCCAGCATCCCAGTGGTCACAGCCATCCTTGGATTTCCTTTATTCAGGGAGGTGTTCTGGACATTGGTAACATTGTGGTGAACATTTGAGGCCTTGGCATAAGATGCCCTTAGACAGGAGGTCCCTAAGGCAGGCTGAGTCTCCCACAGGAAGGAGTACCTTTGAAATTATTCCCAGGCTCCTTTCATTCTGCTCCTGCTCTGCATCCATTATCTCCTAACCCTTACCACAATGGTGCAAGGTAAGTTTATTATTCCCATTTTAGAGATGAAGACTCCCAGGCCCGGGGAAGTTAAGTGACTTGCCCAAGGTCACACAGCTAGTAAGTGGTAGAGCTAGATTCCCAGTGCAGGTTTCTCTGCGCAACATAATAGCTCCTGTGACCCAGGCAGAAGAGAATGTGGAACTTTCTAGAACATTCTTAACCCTTTTTCCCATTTCCTCCAATGAGGAAACTCAATCTTTTGGGCCTTGCTACATATTTCCAGAGAAATCACCCAGATTCTTGTCCTCCCCACACCCCACAGTGCTTTGTAGGGCTCTGTTGCTATTTGGCCCTCCACTCTATAGTCTCTCTCTTGGGGGATACTGGGTACCTCAATCTTCTAGAGCCCCCCCCAGGCCCCTCCCCCACCTCCCCCCCCCCAACCTCTCCCAAGCCCTAGTCCTTGGTGTGTGGGCTCTCTGGTCTGATCACCTTGTAGCCCTGGGTGTGGGAAGAAGCAACTAGCAAAATTGGGCCCATGTGGACCCTGTGAGTGCTAAGTATAGCTTAGGGGTTAGAAACCCAAATACCCCAGGGCCTTGGGGGCAATGGGATGAGTGAAGTAGTCAAGGGAGCTGCTGGGCTGCAGCAGCTTGTGTGGGCTTGGTGTGAATGACTACATTGTCCAGTTTTTAAAATGGGCTAGAAATTCAGACTTTTATGTAAAATCTGGTTTTTAAATGTTGGGAACTAATCAGAATATTTTTTAAAAATTGGCTGTGGACCAACCAAGTACATCCCTGAACTGTGTCCTGAGACCTCTGATCCCTGATAAAGTGACTGAAAAATTTGGTTCCCCCCGACCCCGTCTCCCGCTGGTGTATAAGTAGCACCTCCACTGGGTTCTACATTTGGCCTCTTGAGGTGCTGGCATTTGGTGTGTCATGTGCAGCTGTATATGCTGGTCTTGAAGCATTTTCACACCCCTCATCCCTTGGCATCATCACATTGTCTCATCCCTGCCTTATGGATGAAGAAACTTCAGCTCAGCTTGGGAGTAGCCACCAGGATGGGGTCAACAGCTCAGGGAGGAAGTAGGATTTGAATCCATGGCTCCCCCTTCAGTGCTCTGCAGGCTCTATCAGGCTGTCCCTCAGAAGAGGGTATTGATGTTTCCCCCTGCCCCAGTGTGGCCATTGTCCCTTGGAGGGACAGATCACTGTGCCTGCATTGGGTGAGGAGATGAGGCACAGAAAACCACTGGTCTGAGCTAAGTGCAGTTTGGCCTCTGATATCCAGTGCCATAGCTGAGCCTGGTGACACTGGCCCAAGTAAGGCCTGTTTTCCCACAAGCTCACGAGGACTGATCTGTTGTCCTGTTTTCAGTTTCCCAAGGCCTGGCTTCCCAGCCTAGTGCCAGGGTTGGGTCACAGAGATGCTGCCTGTGGGTGAGGGTTTTGAGTTAAGACCTTGGCTTAGCTGGAAAAGGGAGTCTGGTCAATCTCAGGCCTGGTTCACTGGTAGCTGGGACAACTGTCGTTTTACCCTCAGTTCATCTGTATTGGTGTGGAGGGGTATAAAAAGTCACCAATGCCTCCCTGAAATGCGCTTCTTGCCAGGATAGCGGAGTGTGCATTCCACCTGGGTTCCATGCCACCTGCTTTGTGTGCCTGAGCCCAGCTCCCATCTGTACAATAGAGGTGGCAGCAGCCATCTCCCTCGGGCTTGGCATGTGCAGGGCATGCAGTACAGGTAGCAGTCACCCTCCACCCACCCCATCCCACCTGATCCCTGTCCCTTCA